GGATGTCAAGAAGACCTGAACAAGGCTGTTAATGATAGGACATTTGGAGATCATTAATTCATAGGGTTGCCATAGGTTAGAAGCAACTTGACAGAACTTAACACACACGAAGATGTGTGGATAACAGAGTCTGATGAAGACATAATATGAGGACAGTAGAGTGGCTATTGGAACTGTGTATTCCAATAACAGGAACTATAAGATTAAGAAGTACAAGAAAAGTAGTTGCACATCCCTTTGGCGATACCCACTGGCCTCAAAGTTGTTATTGTTCAGTCGCATAGTCGAGTCCGACTCTTCGCAACCCCATGGACCAGCTCCCGCCAGGACTTCCGGTCTTCCGCCGTCCTCTGAAGTTTGCTCAACTTCATGTTCGTTGCATCGATGACACTGTGTAACCATCTCATCCTTTGCTGTCCCCGTCTTCTTTGACCTTCAATCTTTCCCAGCATCAGGGTCTTCTCCAGTGAGTGCTCCCTTCTCATTTGGTGGCCAAAGTATTTGAGCTTCAGTTTCATTATCTGGCCTTCCAGGGAACAGTCAGGGTTTATTTCTTTTAGGATGGACTGATTTGATCTTCTTGCAGTCCAAGGGACTCTCAAGAGTCTTCTCCAGCACCATAGTTCAAAAGAATCTATTCTTCGGCGCTCGGCCTTCCTTATAGTCCAACTCTCACAGCCGTACATGACTACTGGGAATACCATTGCTTTGACCATGCGGACTTTTGTTGGCAGGGTGATGTACTTAGCATTAAATCCTGATGAGAGAGATCCTAATTTTTTCCACCATTACAACTGGCCATTAGCCTTCCTCAAGTAACTTGAAATTAGCCTGAATTATCCAGTGGCTGAGCTTTGTATTATTGCCACTGGGTGTTCCAGATTAGTGCACTGTTAACTACCTATATTAGACTCACAAAACCTTATTAACATTGTTTTTATAAGCGTCCAGTCGACCTTGCGTACCTTTCCGAGAGGTGTGTTTTTGCTTTAATCAAGCAAAGACTTATTGATATTGAGATGCAAGAACTTAGAAGTCTTGCCTCTGGTAGATGTTCCCCTTTGTGGTGGGGGATGTCCACTAATGGTGTTTTGGCTGAGTACTTCTCCAGCTTGACTATTTCTGAGCATCGGAGGGCATTTATGTTAGCTCGTTTTAATGTTCTTCCCTCTGCGGTACTGTACGGGAGGTTTAAAAAAATGCTATATTCCTCTAGGCTTTGTTCTTGCGGTCTGGGGGAGATAGAAAGTACTGAACATGATCTCCTGCACTGTATATTTTACTGTGATATTCGTGCCATATATATAGAACCTCTGCTACAAATTCACACGAGTCAATCTGATGTTTGCAAGACAGGTTTTTTTTACTATCTTCCCATAACTCTGAGATCATTGATTTGGTGGCTAAATTTCTATGTTGTGCCACCAAGAGGAGAGGAATGTTTCAACTCCAGCAATGAAGGTTGTACCCTTTATCCCTTGATGATCTATGTTTTGTTGTGATGCCAATAAAGGTAGCTGATGATGATGTTAACTGCTTGGTACCAATTAAAGGTCCTTGAATGTGTAAATTATGTGTGATGTCATTTGGGGTATAAGACCCTCTGCCCTTCCTGGTTTAATCGTAATTTCCCGTTTTAATTGCAATAAACAGATATTCTTCTAACTCATTGGACTCTGACTGTGTGATTGCAATTCGGGGTCAAGGTGGAGAAGTGGGGAATCAAACCCGGTTCTTCATATTAGAGTCTGCTGCTCTTCACCACTACACCACACTGCCTCTTTGGTTCAACACTTTGAACCAGGAGCTGGCTCACAGGACTCCACAGCTCGGAGGAAGCATTGTAGCCAGTGTTCCCCCTAAGCTAAGCTAGTGTGAGCCAGCTCACAGTTTCTTAGCCTCCAGCACACACATTTTTTGTCTTTGCCCAGGAAGGAGGACTCCAGAGCCAACCGATTTAGGCAGCAGCCAGATCACCCTGCCCACCACTTTAATGCCAGGAACTCGCAAAGTAGGATTTCTGCTCGCAGGAATCAGAGGGAGCACGGACAACTACACTGGACTCCCGGCTCCAGCCATTCGAGAGGGATGCAGAACGGCGCACTGTCACGTCTGTCGCCGCCTGAGCACCGGGTCTCTCCCACACACACACAGGCTGGCATAGTGGTTAAGTATGTAATCTGGGAGAACTGGGTTTGATTCCCCCACTCCTTGGGTCAGCCATAAATTCTCTCAGGGCTGTCCTTGAAAAAAAGCAGTTTCTGTCAAGAGCTCTCTCAGCCCCGCCTACCTCACAGGGTGTCTGTTGTGGGGAGGGGGAGGGAAAGCTTCCCTTGCACGCTGCACTCACCCTGTGTGAAGTCTTGGGGCTTTCTGAGCCAGCCTCCTGTGCTGCTTCTGCGCACTTTCAGTGTCGCACCATGTACCCGCCCATCCACCCAACTTCCCCCACACCGGATGGCTGGAGAAGGCAGCACTGGACCGGCATGCTGGAGGAGAAGGTGGTGCAGCCCCCCCAACTGGCAAGCCTGTAAAAACTCCCCCCGCCCCACTGACAGCTATGGCTCCCAGCCGTTGGCCCCACCAAGGCTTCTCTCCTCCCCAACAGCGGCAAGGAGCCTGCTCCACCCCACCCAGCTCCACGCGCGGCGGCAAGGAGCCGGCTCACCCCCACCAAGCTCCGCAGCAGTTCCCAACGGTAAATCCATTTCCTACGCATGCGCACAGAACGCGGTTTACTTTGGGGAGGATTTAAGTATTCCCCCTATATTTTTTAAAACATGTCAGATTTTTGTGCACACCTGGGGAGTACCCCAAGTGTGCAGGAATATCTGTTGACCCTCCATGTCCCCCAGATCTGTGGAAATAAGTACCCGCACGCAGGGGGCCATGTTGGGAATTAGATATATAGATGTCATTTGGGGTATAAGACCTTCTGCCCTTCCTGGTTAAGGCAGAATAGAACTTGGTGTTGCTAAGTGCTGTTAAGGTACTCAGCCCTGTATTTCCTGTTTTAATTGCAATAAACAGATATTCATCTATAAGCGTCCTGTGCACAGAACTGTATGATGGCATGAAGGGACAGGCTGCCGAGGGTCACTTTTCTGCCCCACTTCTCTGCTGGCTGCATCAAAGGCATCTTCGGTTCTTGAGTCAGAGATGCTTAAATAGTACCATTGTGTGTATAGATTTTGTGTTATTAAAAAAGTGTGTGTGTGTGGGGGAGAAGCCCTGTGGTGTTTTCTTCCTACAACAAACAGTGCCCCATATTCTCAGGTTTAAGCAGAACGAATGAACACACACACACACACACACTTTTTAGTGAGAGAAATATTTTAAACCCAAGATTACACAACAATTTCAAATCACTTATAGGGATTTGAACCACCATTACACATTGCTCCATGATACATTAAAGAATAACACAATTCAGCTCGAATCCCACTGAAAATTTCAACTGACTAGAAGGAATCACACCAGCAGAGCGTTACACTTCCTTGCTTCCTCCTTCCACCATAGCCCCAAACACCCCACAATGCTGCCCCTGGAGGCAGGGGAATCCCAGGCGTGGATTCAGTAGTCTAAATGGGAGGGGGGATAGCAAAAATTGCCCCTTTTCCATCAGCAGAAATCCCGTGTCATCCAAACAGCTGTGTGGAAAGAGCTTTCCTAAGCAAGAGCCAGCATCATTAGATAAAACCTGAAGAGCCATGTTTACTCTGAAGCAAGTTCTGACACTTACTTCCAAGCAAGTATGTTTGGGATTGCAGTATCAAAATGCATCTGTAGGGGGCATATTTTGAGAAATGTTAAACTCTCAGGTGCTCAGTAACCTTCCCTTTTTCACAGATGTTGGCTGGAAGCAAGGAAATAGATTCCTCCTCTGAGACTCAAAGCTGGTAGTAACTGCTATAAGTCTGGTTCTGATGGCCGGCCCTGCCTCTGCAGCTGTCATTTTGTCACTTTGCACAGCTGCTTTAAATGCTACTACTAAAAATGCCTCTTTAGAGGCAATACTTTGCTGTGTTTTGTATATTTACCTCTTAAAGAGGTATACAGAAAGATGGGGGCAAGTGATGGTTGTACAAGCTGGTCTCAAGAGTAACTTCAGATAAGAATAAGCCTGAAAAAGCAGTCACCACCCATCAATCACATTGACATCTGGGGTCTTTTTGTTTTGTTAGAGGCAATACAGAAACAGGAGGGCAGGGCAAATGAATGAATGCAGATCCTTTAAAAAGAAAAAGAAAAGAGGTGGATGGGTAGGAAAAAAAATGGATGAATGATCTACTTGCGCCACTTTCTTGCCAGAGAGTGACCACGCAAATATAAAGATTTAGGCAATTATGACAGACAAGAAAATTAGTCTTTATTTCAATTAACATTTCTTGGCATTAGGCAGATATTAAATAACACTGGAATGCACAAGACTATTAACAGAGATTGACAACAAAAAGGTAGAAGGACCCTAGCGCATGTATACGCATGTGTGTGTATAATCACTTCATCTCACTCCCCCAAAAGCCATTTTAATGCTGCAGCCACTGCAAGTGGCACAGCAGTGAGATACGCAGAAGCAGAACTAGTCCTTGTTAGATTTCATTAATACTGTAAATGCTCAATCAATGATAAAAACGAACCAAGTGTTGCAGTCAGTAATTATACAGTGTTCTAGCCACAAACAACTAATCATGTAATGTCTTAACAGCAATTGTGCTATTGCATAAATATCACAATTTAAAAAAAAGGTTTGAATAAACACAGACAACTAGATGAAGCATGAATTCTACTTGATATATTAAATATGACCTAAATATTAAAATTTTACTTCACCATATATATATAGTTTATATATATATATATACACACACACACATATATTTAAAAAGAATGTAAAGACCATTATGTAAGTGCAAGCAATTTTCCAGAAAGGAAATTGGTATCATGCTTTTAAAAAAAATCTACTTAATTTAGTCCACATTTCATAGCCATTTTCTGGGAAGCAAATTAATTGCCTGACATTTGCTGTGTTGGACAAAAATAATATATAGCATCTATTCTTAAGGGCTACTATAAAGTCACCCACTCATATTAACCAAGTGATGTGCAATCAACCCCTTTAACCTGTATGTAAACATACCCTTATGTTACATGTGGAGAGTGAATCACAACATTGTACGGGGTAAGAAAAATAGACCTGAAATTGTAGAAGTAGGAGTTGCATCAATGTTGTTGAGAGGTTCTCTTTCACTTGGATATACAGACAATCTGGCAGTGGCACCTCATCCACTAACCACTGAGGAATGGTTGAGAAGGCATCTATTTTACGAGCGAAGCTTGAACAACAAGCCAGTAATTTTCTTTGCAAACTGTTCAGGAGTTTAAATTAGAACTGACTTGCACTGCTTGGATCACACTGTAACAACCGCACGATCGAGGGATCACTTTTGGCACCTTTAATAAACTCTTCAAGTGACAGTTTACCTTGGAAGAAGAAGAAAAAAGCAAGCAAATTACTTTCGTGTCCAAAAAAGGCAGCCAAATTTGATGTACAAATAACAAACTGTGTGACTGAAGGATTAAAAATGTGTGCTCAGCTGCGAAAGAGTTTTAGGTGGAATATATACTCCTGAATTAATAAGTCAGGCAGTTACCATGACAAACCAGTCTGCTGAGGTTGCATTTAGATGAGATTTGGTAAACTTAGTGTTAGGTTGTGTCACCAGCTGTAACACACACCAGTTTCAGATAATGGCCTCTGGACCATCCCTTTCACAGGATTCTTATTCAGGAAAATCTAGCAGACCAAGGAAATGTTGATACAATCTAGGGTACAGAATAATAATAATGGGAATAAGGACCAAATAAGATTTTCACATCCTGTTACAAATCCAAACCAATCATGGCAAATACAACAATATGGGCCAATTTAATGGAATCCACATGGAAACCATGTAGGGATCGATTATTTCCTTGAATAGACCACTTGCAGAGGTGAAAACTTGAATAAATCCAGAGGGATGAATCTCACACAGAGATTTTTTGAAACTAGTATCACCTTCATCCACTCTAGCAGTGACATATGAACCAAAGTGCAGCCAAAGTATTTGCAATTCAGTGATCATTAAATCCGTCTACCGCATCGTAACTTGGCTATCTGAATCACACTTTCAAATCAAGGCGGAGCTAAAATAAGGGGTTCCTCCTGCAAATGGTATGTCCTTATACTACCTCTTAGTAATATCTAGTAAATAGCATGCTTTTATATGATGCAGGGAGTTTCCCTGCTATTACTGGCAGTAGCTAATAATTGGTGCTGGCAAACTCACAGCATGATGATGGGTAAAGGAAAAAGATCAACAGTTCCTAAAATATGAAGTGCCACCCATCAAGCACTATCATTATATCAGCTTATTTAATATCTGATTGGGGGAGTTCAAAGATCTCTCCTACACGTTCCCCCCCCCCCAAAAAATAAAAAGTCTGCTGCTCTCTTTTTCACACACCTCATATACGGGCCAGGTCTATACATTACACAATGTGGCAATAAAGTCTTGAACTCTTCAAGTTGCAGATATGGGATCCCATTTTTAAATGTTCCCCTAAATTAAAGAGTCCCCTGCAAGTAGATAGTTGGTTAAGAAGAGAGCTAATATCCCCTTTCCCTGATGCGCAAATGTTTCTACTTGTGGGGAACACTCAAGTTCTACCACCACTTGGGGGGGGGGGGAATGACACAGTTCTACCACCAGAGCATTCTCTCTCGCCTCTGCTGTACGTACAGAGCTGCATAGACCTGCAAAAGAAGTTATGCAGCTATTTTTGCCCAAGCAGGGGAGGAAGTTAGGGAACATTTTTAGAGCAGATGACTGAGATCTGGGTTGATCTTCTGTTCTTTTCTGTTTGCAAGGATCTAGCATGGGTGGGGCCAGAGACATGAGCCAAAGGGCTCATGGCTATTGGCTCTTCGCCTGAGACCTTAAGTGGGTCAGTACAGTGGATTCAGGACGAGCCTAAGATGTGCTGCACTGTATTTTTAGATGTCGTTTCCTGTCTGTTTATCTAAATTGTATGTTTGTAAATTGTATTCTGTAGGTTGCTCTGGGTCTTCTTTGAGAGAAAAGAGGGATTTAAATACTGAAATAAACAAAGCACAGATGACCTCTACAAGGCATCGTTTCATAACTGTGTTTGTTCAAACAATGTGGCAGGGCTGGAAAAAGTACAGCTGGAATATATGCTGCTGTTCATTTTTCTAACAGCCACACGAAGGTCAACATTAGAAAGCCATTATCTTGTGCAGCAGCCATGAATAAAGCCCTGTGCACATGCTGTAAATGTGGAGGAGGGACAAATGCTATGGTCTCACATCCTGCATGTAACGAAGTGCCACTGACCATGTCCATATTCACTCAATGTAGGCATCTCACCTAAAAGCTGTGCACGTGGCTGGTTCCATCCCAGTGATGAGGACGATGAATTCTCCACAGTTCCCAATCACAGGGAGAGAGTTGACATGCAGTTAGGCTCTGCATCCATGTCCAACTGAACATATGTAAGAAGGACACAGTGCAGCCAGGCAGTGCATTGATCTCGTGCACCAATTAACCATGCAGGGTCACAGTTACCCCTTCTACTTTGGTTCTTCCACAGCTGGTGTGGCAACAGGGTACATTGGGCAGTATTCTTCTTTCCCTTTTTTGGAGATTTTATATATACTCATAGATGTGCTTCAGACTTCAGGAAAAGAAATTACTAGAGTTTATAAAACATTGGCTTTTCCAAATGTCTCAGTGACAAACGCGTATCAATGATCCAAGTAGGCAATTAAGCACAATGCATTCTGAGGCAAGTCTTAACCCACTTCCACTTGTTCCAATTGTGGAAAAAACTTCCTCTACATTTGTTTTGCCAAAGGGAAGGATATTCATGTTGAAGTTGTGGGCTGCTTTGCATCTCATAAATTCAAAAAAGAGGGCCTTGATACTCTGAATGCCATTAGCCTCAAATGCAATAAACATAGAGCATCTTGATAGAATTCACTTGTGGGGAGTTTTCCATTACACCCATTCTATCTGCCATTTATTATTACTATTACTGATTTTGATGACAATTTGCACATATTTCTTTATCATTAAAGGATTAGTGATTCATAGCTAGTCTTCCTGCAACAATATCACTGTTCTATTCAGTCATAACTGGATTAGCTATATGTTCATGGTATGAGTGAAACAGTGGCTTGAACCCAGATGTAAGTTTTGATAATCACAACCTGGCTGGAGGCATTACTGAATCAAATATATAAAAGGTATTCAAATCTAAGCATTATAATGCCTCAGGCTAGACTGGGACAAACCCCGTTGGAGAAACATCTAGTTTGGTGGCAGTTTGAGACCTCAGCTACTTATTAAAAACTGATGTCAAGATCTCCAAGGACCAGGACGGTGAGACAATTTCCAGGAAACAACAGTGGACTGAATGCTTTCTTCCAGAGACTTAAGTGCCCACCTGTGTGGAGATACTTAAAGAACACCTCTGTCCTGCCTTATCTGCTTTGAATAATAAGCACCATAACACCTGGAAGAGCCAACTTCAAAACGGACCTTTGGATACTCACTGTGAAGGGTCCTTCTCCTCTGAGGAAACAAGGACATCTTGTGGGTGATCCCCACTGTCCTATCAGAGAGGCAGGAACTAGTTTTATTCCTCTTCCTGTTTGGTGAGGGAATCACCCTTTCCTCAGTTCGGATAACTCCAAAAATCAGTAAACTAGATAACTCTTAATCTACATGTAATAGAAACTTGAGAACGTTGAACACACAAGAATGAGAACACCGCCTTTCCTCAGTTCGGATAACTCCAAAAAGCAGTAAACTAGATAACTCAACCTACATGTAATAGAAACTTGAGAACGTTAAACACACAAGAATGAGAACACTGATAGGTAAGAGGAAGCTTATGTGAGACAGGGAAAGAAACAGACTGAAGCATGATTTACAATGACTTTGGGAGGGGCAAGATGTCCTCCTTTCCTTGGAAAAGAAGGACACTTCACATTGAGTATCCAGAGGTCTGTTCTCTCTCTGAGGAAGAGGACATCTTGTGGGACCTCACACAACAGTGAATTTTAACAATTGGGCAGGTCATTGCCTTTGTCAGGAACTATGTGCTGCAAGATTCTTCTGCCAAAGGCTGCATTGGCCGAATCACATAGGTTCATTTTGTAGTGCCTCAAAAATAGCAAGATTGATTACCTGTTGCTGCTCTGCATACTTCCCCAACTGACACATGTTTAGTGAAAGCTGCATTTGTGGCAGCACTCCTTACTGAATGCGCTATCCCAGGTCTTCTACCTTGAGGGACTTGTAGGCCTCAATGACGCATGCTTTAAGCGTAGCACTAATTGCTGCTTTTGATATCTTCCCACCTATGTTAGGAGCAGAGATGTTCATGAATAAGGAATCCATTTTCCTGAATTGCTCAGTTCTAACTAGGTAGGTCCTGAGAGTCCATCTGACATCCGGTGTATGCCAAAGTTGCTCCTTGAGGTGTATGAGATTCAGACAGAATGACTGAAGGCCTATGAAATTTGGAATTGACCTTAGGTTGGAAGGTAGGACCTGTTCTGAGAACTACTTTGTCCTTGTGGAAGGTGCATAACTCAGACTTGACCAATACGGCACCCAATTCTGGGACCCTTTGAGCTGAAGTCATCGCTACAAGAAAGATAGTCTTCACTCTCAGCCAGCGTAAAGCTATTACTGTAATTGGTTCAAATGGATATCTAGTCAGGGCTGATAAAACTGTGTGTAGCTTCCATGTCAGAAATCTATGCATCTGAGGTGGTATATATGTATATGAGGATGATTGGATAAATTGCTACCCTCGATTTGTGGAAGAACTGATGCGAATGCAGCTACTTGTCTTCTAAGCGTGGAGGGTTTGAGTCCTATAGTCAAGCCATCTTGTAGAAATGCCAATATCACTTCCAAGAAAGGGCTGAATGTATTGACTTTCTCATGCACCATCTACCAAATTCATTCCAAAAGTTGTTGTATATTTTAATACCTGATGGTCTTCTAGAGGTTTTCTTGGATGATGCCGCTGTCCTGGACCCATTCCACTCTGGCTTCTGCCCTGCCCATGGGACAGAGACAATGCTAGTTGCCCTTGCAGATGACCTCCAGGGACATCTGGATTGGGGAAGGTCAGCACTGCTGTTGCTTCTTGATCTAACAGCAGTGTTCAACATGGTTGACTACGACCTTCTGACCCACCGCCTCACTGATGCTGGAATATGGGGGACTGCCTTACAATGGCTTTCCTCCTTCCTTCATGGTCGGGGACAGAGGATGGTACTCGGAGAGAAATTGTCCCAGCAACACCCACTAAAATGTGGGGTGCTGCAAGGGGCTATCCTCTCCCTGATGTTATTCAACATCTACATGTGCCCCCGTGCCCAGTTAGTCTAGGGGTATGGGCTG